CTGTCTTTTGGCCGTTTTACCTGTTGCTGCTGTCGCTGCCGCTGTTCTTGGCTGGCCAACGGCGTGCGTGAATCGGCCACAGAGGTAAATACTGGTTTCGTGCTGTCGCCGGTTTTGTTTTGATACACATTTCGCGCATGCGCAAAACGAGTGGCAATGAAATAAATACAAGTGTGTACACACTGTGCGGCCAGGCAAAACATTTTCCGCCGCAGCCCCAAAGTATGCAGCGCGTTTGCAATTGAATCGTTCGTAACGCAAAGGGCAGCTAGGTAAAAAGAATATTTAGAAATGGATATAATTGGGGTACCTAAAATTTTATATGCTATAATATTTAATATGAATTTAACTGAAAAAATGTGCATGTGTTCCAATTTAAGACATCTAGAATTCCAAACATGGCCAAAAAAAAATGTTTTGAAACTCGGTTCAGTTTTGACCAAGTTGCAGATGTTAAAAGTCTTCAATGTGCATTTAATGAAAATCGGGAGCTCTGTCAGCCGACAAATTTGATCAACAATTTAATAAGAAAATTCTAAAAAATTGTCCTCTCAAAATTTATACTAAAATTCAATCTTAAGGTCAAACAAAGACCTCGTGTTATGAAAGTTTGAAAACTTGGAAAGCAATTGCTTAGAACTGGAAACTTTGTATGTTAAAATATTAGACTTAAACTGGGTCATGAAAAATATCAAAATATGGTGTTTGTAAATCTACATGCAGAATCAAAATACAATCAAATCATGAACTAAGAATTAATCCTTATCAAATTCAGCTTGGGTTTGTTCGAGCTGTAAGATTTTAAAGTCTCGGAAGAGCTATATCCATGCACCTGAATACCCAAATTTAAATGCAGAATCAATCAAAAATTATCATGAATTATCATGATATGCCATTTCAAAATCGATTCAGTTTCGATAAAGTTGCAAGAGTTGAAAGACCAAAAGAAACTTCAACTATGAATCTAACAACTGTGGAAGTCAAAGCCCTATAATTGAAGTAAACACTAAATATATTTATTTATTTTTGGTATATATAAGAACTATAACTAAATCGATTTAAAGTGCATCGTCCACCTGGAACTGTATCAGATCCTCGACGGGAAAGCGAAAGAGCGAAGCTGTTTGTGCCTCGGCGGCCAGTTGATCGATGTGTGGAATTTTGTGGTAGCGAAAATGATCGCCCTGGACGCTATAGCGACCCTGATTGGGAGGATTGCCAGCGAGTGCAGCAGGATGTGGCAGCTGGGGCACCTCAGCCGCCACAATGGGATGCTCAAAGTCGATCAGCGAAAGATTGTCGCTGCGTGAAATTGAATGATTCGCTGGCTGCTGCTGCTGCTGTTGCTGTTGTTGGGTTTGGTTCTGCTGCGGCTGAGCTGTGGTTGCAGCCACCGAGCTGTTGCCGGGCTGTGGCTGTGCTGGTGCCACCTGGCGTGGCTCAATGGGGCTGGGTGGCTTGGGCAGCGGCTGCTCCCGCTCACTGGCGCTAAAAGTATTGCGTTGCAAGCCCGCGGCGAAATTGTGGTTGTAGAAGGGATTGGTGGAGGTGCGCATCGGTGTTGTCGGCTTCTGCTTGGGAAAAACATTCAAGTGCAGCATTATCTGATTGGAGTGCGAGTCTACCGGTCCAGTGTTGACATTCCCATTGGCCTGCTGTGCATAGATGCAATCCTCAGAGCCCGAATTTTGCTGCTGCTGTGTGGCAAACTTTGGCGACTGGTAAAGCGCCTGCTGCTGATGCTGCTGCTGTTGCTGCTGCTGTTGCTGCTGCTGTTGCTGTTGCTGACTGTAGCGTGTGCCGTGATCGGGAAAGATCATGGGCAAGTGGCTGGGTGGCTGTGTGGGGAACTTGAAGGGCGTCTGGTAGAGACCCTGCGGCTGGGCATAGATGGGCCCGTTGGAGGCAGTTAGGGCCCCAGCCGAGGGCAGTGCATAGTCGCCGTGGAAGGGATTGCGCAGCACAGAGGTCGGCCTTGAAGGTGGCAGCACCGGATAAATGTCCAGGTTCAGTTTGAAAGGTATACGCTTATGTTGCGGCTGACGTGTAGTATTAAGCGCGATGAGGGGTGGAAAGTTCTGCAGGAAGGGATCAACCACCAAGTGCTGCTGGCTACCGTGCTCCAGCAGCATGTTGTAGTTGGTCTGCTCCTGCTGCTGCTGCTTCTTGTTTTTCTTCTTGGAGCTGGGTTTACTGTTGGGCGCCTGCTGCAGCGCCAGCAAATTGATGTCCTGCGGCGAACGTGGCTTATAGGGATACAGCTGCTCGATGGCTACGCGTTGATGCGTCGCACCACCGTACAGCGGCATGGGCAGGCCCATGGGAAACATGGGCATCGGTATGCTGAACTGCATCTGTTTCTTGTTGCGCTTGCCCCGAAAGAAATTGGCAATGCCGCTGGACTTGAGATTCTTATAGCTGCCGGCAATGTGCAGGCCCGTGGGCATCATCACCAGCGAGGGCGCCGTCATCATTTGCGGCATCTTGCTGGGTAGCACATTATTGATGTGCAGATTGTGCAAGATGTCCTGGATGTTGTTCAGTGTGCCATGCTGTTGCTCCGCCTCGCCTTTCTTGAACTGCTCCGGTAGTGGCCCGTCGAAGGGAAAGTGAAACGGCTTCGGCTTGAATTCATCGCGCATCGCCAAAGTGCCCGGCGTCTCCGAGTACTGGCGCCGCAGCAGCCCCGACGAGGGTGGCCGCTGTGTGGACAGGCGCGGCGGCCGGGGCAACTGATCGCGCAGCACATCACGCAGCGGCGTCATTGTGACGGATCGCTTGGGCAGGCGCTCATACAGATGATTATCGTCGACGGCGTTGGCATTGGCGTCGCCATCGCCGGGCGCGTTTAGCTGCATAGTTGTTGCGTGCTGCAGCATGTTGCCTGGCGGCTGGGGTCGTCTCGCTTTCGTGCGCCATGTTCCGTAAATGGGCGCAACGTCGTCGGCACGCTCCAATAAGTAGGCAGTTTCGCCAGCCGCGCCAGTCTCCACTTCACCCACGGCACCCGCGTCCACATCGTTGGCATGCAACTGCATCTGCTGCTGATGCATCTGCTGCAGATGCATGTGCATTTGTTGTTGCTGCAGACGATATTGTTGCTGCTGTTCGTGCTGCAATTGCTGTAACTTGGCACGCATCTTCTCAATGTTTAGGCGTTCCGCTGTCTGAGCCGGGCTGTCGCCGTAGTTGTCACTTTCCGTGCTGGGCGTTGTCTCCGCCACCGTTGGCTCAATGCGGCTGAGTAACTGCTGCTGCTGCGGCTGCGGCTGCTGCTGCTGCTGCTGCTGTTGATATAAGGCTGCTGTTGATGCGACCTTGACTACCATAAGAGACATCTGTAAAATTGAAAGTTTTATTTGGTTTTGCAGCAAGCACTTAAAATCTCTTGCTCTCTCTCTCTCGCTACTATCACTTGGGGCTCACAATTGTGTACACATAAAGCAGGCCCATAATCCGCTGCCAGCGGCTTTGGTTTGCCTTTTGTATGCCTCTGCACCTCGCAGGATCTTGACCCAGCAGCGCTATGTGGTTTGACTTGGGCTCTGGCTGCGTTTCTGGCTTTATAAACATTTTTCACTGTATAAATTTAGCTGAGCTGTGCCTCGTATCGTAGCTGTTGGTATCGGTATCTCTTGGCGCAACTGACGCGACTTCCTCATCGCGAATCGCAAAGACGACTGCCCGCAGTTTTGGCCAAGCAGCCCCTAAAAAACTTGCAACCACTTGCAACAACGCAGCGTACGACTGCGCCTAATTAGAAAGCTTAACATATACGAACGAAAATAAATAGACAAATAAATTAATTGGCTAAATGATTTCGTGTTGCCGATGTGTTTGTGTGGAAAAGAAAATGAGATAGTTTAAAGGCAGCGACCATGAACAACTCAAGATCGCATACACGCCAATACACGCGATAAAGAATTAAGGCGAGAAACAATGCAAGTGCAGCTCGCTAGCCGAAGTGCATAAAGCTCTCATAAATTAGATGAAAAGTTATGTTTAATAATGTGATTAATCGGATTTTTTGCAGTTCGATAGGCATCATTTGATACCACAAAAGGGATTTGAACCAGCGACCTTCTCTTTACTTTATTGCATAATATCCGCAGATAATACGTACCTTAAAGTGGTATATTACTCGACCCTGTACAATTTAATGATTATAGATAAAATACCTCTTAATAAGAGTTTTAACTAATAAACAAAGTATTAGGTGTCATTCCCCATTATTAGATGGAATTTATATTGATAATACCACACTTAAATGGTTTCCACTATAATAATAATATATGTACATACAAATATATTTTATGGCTGCTATACAAACCTTACACAAAAGCCGTACGACCCGCTCTTTTGCAGATGCAACCTCACGCGTGTTGCGTCTTGTTGTGGCAAAAAACATTAATATAATAACAATAATAGCAACCGCTGCAAACATTTCCCGTTGTCGAATTAAAAATGCATTGAAACCACATTTGATAAACTTAATTTATTGTTCGGGCCTTTAGAAATGTTCATAAAAGATATTTGTTTGTTTTTCATTTGATTTCAATATAGAGTCTAAATAGTCTTGAGACACAAAGTGCTGAGGAGGCAAACACGCATTTTGATTGGGAAACATAAAACATAGCAAGATATAGTATTAAGGGGTTTACAAAAAATTAGATACATAGATACAGTGATCCCTAATCGTATGAGTATGCGATTCATTAATTCATAAAAACAAACAAGTTTCATTCTTGCCGACGCTTCAGTGGTAATTCGCAATTTCGAGCACCCTCATGAAACGCTGTAAAAATCTTTTCGACTGTATTGACTAGATGTATCTAGCCCTAGAAATATATGGTTGGCATTGCATTGCTAGATATATAGAGCATCAGTTATTGCATCCCCTCTCATAAGACAATATTATTTCAATTAAAATGAAATGAAATGTCACCCATCTTGCCGTTGACCGTCGTTGAATTCATCGACGGCTATAACTGAGCTAGTTGAACGGGTGCTTAGAAGTCAAAGGGAATGTTGGGCCTTGGATATTGGTAGCCCTGATGTTTGGTCGTCGCTGGTGGCACGCTAGCCCTTGTCGGAGGTGGGATGTACGGAGTGGTTCTACGGGTTGTCGGCACCGTACGTTGAGTAGCACGTGTGGTTATCCTCTGAGTGGTCACGGGCGGCAGGTAGGTTGGTGGGGGTGTGGCCCTGGTTGGTGGGGGTGTTGGCCTACGAGTCGTTGGTGGTGGTGGTGGAGGAATTTTGCGAGTAGTGGTCACTGGGGGCAGTGGCTTGTTGGTTGGTGGCAAGTAGGTTGGAGCTGGAGTTGTGCGGTAAGTAGGGCGTGCGGTAGTATAAGTGGGTGGTGGTGGTGGTCTACGAGTCGTTGTGTACACAGGTGGTTGTGGCTTGTTCGTGGGTGGCAGGTACGTGGGAGCGGGAGTCGTACGGACTGGAGCTCTGGTAGTCGGAGGGGGTGGTGGTCTGCGTGTAGTGGTCACTGGAGGCAAGTACGTTGGTGGTGGGGTTGGTGGACGAGTAGCGCGAGTTGGTGGTGGGGTAGCCCGAGTTGGGGGTGGGGTGTACTTAGTTGGGGGTGGAGTAGCACGAGTCGGTGGTCGGGTTGTAGCCCTAGTCGTAGCAGGAGGCTGTGGCTTGTTTGTGGGAGGCAAGTAAGTAGGTGCTGGCGTACTTGTGGGGCGGACGGTCGCGCGAGTAGTACGGACGGTAGCCCTAGTGGTTGGTGGGGGTGGTGGCCTACGGGTGGTGGTCACTGGAGGCAAGTAAGTTGGTGGTGGTGTAGCCCGAGTTGGTGGTGGGGTAGCCCGAGTTGGTGGTGGTGTTGCCCGAGTTGGGGGTGGAGTAGCCCGAGTCGGTGGTCGGGTAGTAGGCCTAATCGTTACAGGAGGCTGTGGCTTGTTTGTGGGAGGCAAGTAAGTAGGTGCTGGCGTACTTGTTGGGCGGACGGTCGCGCGAGTAGTACGTACGGTAGCCCTAGTGGTTGGTGGGGGTGGTGGCCTACGGGTCGTGGTCACTGGAGGCAAGTACGTCGGTGGTGGGGTTGGTGGGCGTGTTGCACGAGTTGGTGGTGGGGTTGGTTTACGAGTAGTTGGTGGTGGTGGTGGTGGTCTACGAGTCGTTGTGTACACAGGTGGTTGTGGCTTGTTCGTGGGTGGCAGGTAGGTGGGAGCGGGAGTCGTACGGACTGGAGCTCTGGTAGTCGGAGGGGGTGGTGGCCTGCGGGTCGTGGTCACTGGAGGCAAGTACGTTGGTGGTGGGGTTGGTGGACGAGTAGCCCGAGTTGGTGGTGGGGTAGCCCGAGTTGGGGGTGGGGTAGGTTTACGGGTGACAGGTGGCTGTGGCTTATTTGTAGGAGGCAGATACGTTGGTGCAGGTGTGCTTGATGGGCGAATAGTTGCACGAGTTGTACGAATAGTAGCCCTTGTCGTTGGTGGTGCTGGCTTGCGAGTAGTGGTCACTGGGGGCAGTGGCTTGTTGGTTGGTGGCAAGTAGGTTGGCGCTGGAGTCGTACGAACGGTAGCCCTGGTTGTCGGCACAGTACGCTGAGTTGGTGGTGGAGTATACCTAGTCGGTGGTGGCGTTGGCTTGCGGGTAGTCACTGGAGGCAGTGGCTTGTTGGTAGGAGGCAAGTAGGTAGGAGCTGGCGTTGGCTTGCGTGTTGTCACTGGAGGCAGTGGCTTGTTGGTAGGAGGCAAGTAGGTTGGAGCTGGCGTCGTACGAATGGTAGCCCTGGTAGTTGCCACCGTGCGCTGGGTTGGTGGTGGAGTATACCTAGTCGGTGGTGGCGTTGGCTTGCGGGTAGTCACTGGAGGCAGTGGCTTGTTGGTAGGAGGCAAGTAGGTAGGAGCTGGCGTTGGCTTGCGGGTTGTCACTGGAGGCAGTGGCTTGTTGGTAGGAGGCAAGTAGGTTGGAGCTGGCGTCGTACGAATGGTAGCCCTGGTAGTTGCCACCGTGCGCTGGGTTGGTGGTGGAGTATACCTAGTCGGTGGTGGCGTTGGCTTGCGGGTAGTCACTGGAGGCAGTGGCTTGTTGGTAGGAGGCAAGTAGGTTGGAGCTGGAGTCGTGCGAACGGGAGCCCTGGTAGTCGGAGGTGGTGGCCTGCGAGTAGTGGTAGTCACAGGTGGCTGTGGCTTATTTGTGGGGGGCAAATAAGTCACAGGGACACGAGTTGGTGGCCTGGTGGGCGGTGGTAGTGTAGTGCGCTTCGGCAACTCAAACGGCACCGCAGGAGTAGGATAGAAGTATCCATCAGCCGCACGAACATTACGCTGAAACAAGTCATACTGTCAGTTAAAGATCAGCTCCATGATCTACATGGTCATTAGATGCTTACCTCATGGGTGTCAGCTGTTGCGGTGGCTACTGCCACAACGCAAAGCGCCAAGACAAAAAGTGCACTTCTCTGTGGAGAAACGGAAACAGAAAGTGGTTAAAGAAGATACTAAATAAAACTTCAAGTTATTTAGAATTCCACAAGCTGTGACCCTAGGCATCGGAATGAGTTTTATTCTAATTACCTTATCGAATTGTTTTAATGCGCTAGGCCTAAATGCAAGGCAACATTGTCTAACTATAGACAATGCTCAAGTCGTTCGTTAAAGTTCAGACGATGTCAGCCATTTGAATATAGTATTCAAATCAGCTACAACAACAACAACAATAACAAATAGCTGGCAATTACATTAAAATGTTTATGTGTAAAGTCGAAGACATTCAACTTTGACATCATCTCTAGGTCACGGTAGCTAACCAAAACAAAGTCACACAATGCGATGGCTAACTCGATTATGCTCAAATTTCTTATTCACAAGCCAATTATAAAAAGACACAAAATGCAGGTGAAATAATTAATTTGGTTGGCGACAAAATCTCCGGTCGAAAAATGCACAGATTAAGCCATGTATCGTCTTCCGTGGCTGTCAACGGATCTAATGTTTTATAATTAGCATTTTATGCGATTGCCGTTTAAATTTCGACAAGGTCAACTTGAAGCTGTCAACGTCAACGAAAGTGGTAAATGGCCAGCTGCAATTAATTTGCGGACATATTAAAATCACTAAGAATTTTTGGATAAGCTATGTCCGTGCTGGGCTCTATCTATAAAAATAGCCAATTATGCAACAAACCGGCTGCGAACATGAAAAAATAAAAATTATGCCTGACTAGTTTTAGAACCAGCAGAGACAGCGGTATTATATAATAATAATCGGCATCGGCCATTAATAAAGTGAGAAAAACTGAAGTTGTCGCTAACAAAATTAGCATACGCACTAATCATTGAAAGCCGCTGCCCAAGTCATAGCCATAAAAATCGCCATTCGCCTCGCTTTATGGCCAAATTTCTTTGACTAAGCCAGACAAAAGAATACTATATATATATATATATATATATATATGAATATATACGCACAAGTACATGCCTATATATATCTTTATGTTCTTGACAAAAATTTGACTTATCGCCAAATCTAAAAAAAAATATATATATATTTATAAATATTTATACATAACTTATTCAAATGTAAATGGCTTTTAAAATTGGTTGTTAATGAACTTGAAATTTCTCGATGTTCTAAACTTGTTTAGCATTCAAATATTCAAATGCTTGGAACTCAACCCGTCGCCGGGCAAACGTCTTGTTAGCACCTAGGCGAGTGAAAGTGAAAGGACTTTAGCCGCATGGTATCCAACTCAAGTATAAGCGCGTCAGTTTCTAGTTTTGAGATTATTCCAAACAAACCTAATGAATAAATGTTATCTCATAAAGAGCTACACGCGCTTTATATTTAGATTTTATTTTTATTAATGGGATGCGGTTGGCGAGATTCGAAGACACGTTCTCCAAACGAATGTCTTACTATAGATGGGTCTTAATGCTGGTGTCTAACATGGTATATTCAACTTTGAGCACGGTTCCCAGTAATCTATTATGCTAATATGTGGCTAATTAATTTGTTTTACACACAGACATGACCTTGCATTCGTATCGGAAACGTCAATGACGCACATTTAGGTCAAGCTGTCTTCAAAAATGATCGAAAGTTACGCATTTTCATTAATGGTTATTTTAACATTGCTTTTAGAGATTAACGAGTTAGGTTTTTATTGGAAGTTTTGGGATGACAGAGACAGGTAGTATGCCACTGAAGAGCTAAATGATCATCTCCAAGTAGAAAAACGAATTATTTTTTATACTATTAAATATTTGTTTTTCATTTTTCAAGTATCTTAATCTTCGTTTGGTTCTTGTGCAGTTCTCTGCTTGCTGCACATTTGGCCACTCAGATTGATCGCTAAGCCTGTTGATTTGCCTTTGGCACTTGGTCTAGGCGGTGCTTCTATGCAATTCTTTGATAATTTGCCGTAAATCTCTGTTGCAATCGAAAGACTTAGGCAACGAACTTGATGCAGATAATTAACCGACTATCGAACTGACAGACGTTGATCATCTCTCAATGGCAGCGCCAAGAATTTACATGCATATATATATACTGATATAGCTTAAGGCAACATTTAATGGTCATTTACCTAAATATGCCAATTCAAATGTCAACCCATGAAATGCAAACAAGTTTTCATTTCATCCGCTGCGTTGACATAGAAACCCAGGCAAAATGTTTGCAGCTTCTGCTGCACCTGAGCCATGTTAAATGATTAAGTACGCAAATACTGACAGCAGCAGCAGAAAGCCCCTCACCCAGCCCGCGGACCTCCGTGTCTTCGACTTGGACAGCCCACGTGGGCGCAACGGGCGTATGCGTAATATTGGCTGGCAAAGCGCCTGCGCACTTACACACTCACTTACACACTTGCACAATGGCACTACTACAAAGCGTGTAATTGGAAAAAACAAAAACGCTCTTCAGGGCTTAAATGTCACTTGGGCCGCCAGATAAGAGCCCCAACTTGTCTGCCTTGTTAAATGTGTAAAACGCAAATAAGCGATTGACGTGAAGTAATTGATTTTCAGTATTGTTCAATTGTCTTTACAACTTCTCACTTCTCTTTTTGGCACTTTTCACGAATGTCTTTTAGTTGATTTTATTGTATTTGTATTTGATTTGAGCAATTGCAACTAATTTTAGTTACCATATTGAGCACTTTTAACTGCAACGGACGGCAGATAACGCTTAAGTATATATCTGTGAATATATCCCGACTGTGATTTATGTGTATAATCCTTGTGTGTGTACGATCGTATCAAAATTCAATGGTCAATTGAATTTTTGATCGATGCCAAGCAAAAAAGTTGCTTCAACTTCTGGGTCGACACTGGGCTAGCAACTAAAGCATCAAAACTTGTAGATTCTCTACTTATATATACTCGGGGCGTCGGATCGGCCGCTGCTGCTGCTGCTGCTTTAGACGCCGCTGCTGCGACGACTTGGGCGACAGCTGTTAACACTCGCAAAGACTGAAGATGCTGCCAACAAAGACGCTGACGCCAACAACTGACCAACCGGTGCCAGTTTCGGTTTCAGTCCCAAGCCTCAAGTCGCTCAGCAGCTGCGCAGTCGTTGCTGCGGCTGTGGCTGCTGCTGCTGCGGCTGCTCTTAATGTTAATGCCAGGCATTGTTGTTGGGCCGTTTAACAGTCGCATAACATAAGTAAACGCACTAAAACCAAATAATCATCATAATTTAAATTATAAAATACGCCTCAATCAAAAAAATAAGGCTTGAAAAGGCTTCAAATAAGCAGCAGCAGTTGAGACAATGCCGCAGTTGACGTCTGCCGCGCGCTTAATTTGTGGCTTGGGTGTAGTTGTTGTTGTTGTTGTTGCTATTGGTATTTCTATTTAGCTACTTTTATTTGAGCAAATATATTAGATGACTAGTGACTAGATTAAAGCCAGGCACTTGGCCACTTGCTCTGATGTCTGCCTGAACTGTGCCTTAAGTGCGTGTATTAGGTTTTATTTTATCTCTATATTTCTTTATTTACTTAAGTTTTTTAGTTTCTTTAGTTTTTTTCTTTTTGCCTGCAAACTAGTATTTTAGTTTTTTTCTGCTTTTCGAGTAACTTGAACGCCCATGGATAATGTGCTCGCCGAGTGTTAAACATATTGTCATGCAGAGTCTAATTTGTAAACGAGATTAACATTCGAGCTGTGGAGCTGTGTTGTAATTTTGGCAATCGCTTTCAAGGCTTCAATCGAAGCTCGGCAATAGGCAAATAAGTATTTAGTGGAATTGCAGATGAAATTAGCTGCATTCAACTGAAATTCCATGCAGGCGTTGTCTAAGTGCAAACATCGCCGACAGAGATTACAGCTGTTCGTTGCCAAGATTAGGCCTACATGCGCCGCAACTGCAGAGTTAGAGATGAAGATGAACCGGTTGCTGCCGCTGCCGCAGCCGCTGCTGCTGCTGCTGCTGCTGCTGCTGCTGGTGGTGCGTGCAATACCGTGTTTTGGCGGGTCAGTCGTGGCGTCCAAGTTTGGAATTGAGCTCTGAATGTTAAGGTAGGCGCGCACAGAGGCGCGCTGCAGCCCCAATAACCAAATGACCTTTAAACGCAAAATGAAAAAAAAATAATAAGATATTAAAAAAAAAAACATACACACACGCTCGACAATCGCCCGTACACATTTTGTGTATTTATTTATTAAAAACAAAAAAGATGCTGCTGCCAGCAGCCAGATGTAGATGTGGAGATGCAGAGATGTGAGTGGAAGATATCCGAGTGCCAGAGCCAGTGCAAGTTGAAGCCTCATTGGCGCATCATTTTTGCGCGTCCGACCGGCTGACAGCAGCAGCAGCAGCCAAACGGGTTTCCTCGCTGCAACGTATTTGCTTGTTTTTGAACAAACTTTTTTTTAATAAGCTGCATTTATTAATTTGTGATGCCCAAAACATGATTAAGTGGCAGTCACGCATAAGTCTCTCTCAAAACTGAACACCGTCCGAACCAATTTGGCGACTGCCCACGCGACAAAAACAACGAGACAAAACAAAAACAAAAACTCATCAAATTGAGAGTTTTGCATATATCAAATATTTGTCGCTTAACTAGATCATCCATTCTTGAATGAGGTGCTAATCCGATTCACAATTGGAGTTGGCATTACGGACTGACCATTCGGCAAGTTCCTACACTCACAGAAACTTTTCTAACTGCTTATTACATTAAATATAGAAAATATGTAGATATCGAAAATATGTATCCATATCATTAAGAAATTATTACAGCAGGTAGCCATTTTATACCCTCAACCCATTAAAAGTTGTTAAAAAGGGTATAACGTTATTGTGCAAATGTATGTGACAGGAGGAAGAAAGCAGCTCCGACCCCATGAAGTATATATATACTTGATCAGTATCAATAGACAAGTCGATCTAACCAGTTCCATCTGTCTGACCATTATTTCGTATGCATGAACACGTTGATCTCAGGAACTATAAAAGCTAGATATTGAAATTGTCAGAAACTCTCGACAAGAGCTCCTATTACTTGTTTAACTATTAAATAAATCAGCTTAGAATATGTTTATATGAACAAGAATTATGTCAATTTCGTAAGGGCAGAGGGTTCCAATCTTTTGCTCACACTTTTATGTTAAATATGCTTAGAAGTGAGTGCGGAGCTTGACTACGCACTCCTCTGATATTCGTAGCTCCTAAGAAAACTTGACAGCAAGTTGTACATATTCCATTCCCATATTCAAGCTAATCTCCAGGATTAGCTTTGAGTTTACATATGTTTTAAAATACATATTTATAAGGATATATTATGCTTATATTATAAAACTGCGGCCTTCCATTTGAGTTAAAAATTTGTCAACTTTATATTTTGTCTAGCCACAAACGCTTGAATTTCGGGTCTCAAGTCATGTCTTATTCACATGTTAAACACTGCGCAAAACGAAGGTGTGAAGAAATGCGAAACATTACTAATATAGTATTAAATTTCACATAAATCTTTTCATATACCATATTGCAATATGATGAAAGATCAAATAAGCAAATGAGATTTTATATTAAGAGAACTAACTAGGCTTAAAGTCACGCAGTTGATTTATTTAGATTAATAAGTAAGATATCTTATTCAAATAATCGCTCAGTGTAGTTCTTTTGCTTGAATGACATTATTAAAAGTTGTTTATATGAAGCTAAGTGGTTATCAACAAAGTGTGTTAGTAGTAATAATTGCGTGCTGCAAAGTGAGTGCTATGCATTCGAATATGTCGTAAACATAGTCATAAACACTTTGGCTTTAGGAAGTCACCCCAAAGAAACTAATTGCGAAGTTGACCGCCAGCGCACACTTATGCATCCGCCTATTAATTGTTCTTTTTATGAGAAACCTCCACCCAGCTCAAGTCAGATACCAGATGACAACCGGCCAAGCAAAGCGATGCGATGCGATGCTGCTGCTTGCCCCTGCCTGCTGCTACTGCAGTTGATGGCTAACAATTCGGGTCATAACTTGCTTTGCGCCTCTGCTCTTAGAGGCAATGACACTTGGCGACTGCTGACATTTAACAGATAAGTCATTGTGACAAACCAAAAAATCGTTATACGTAGCGCCACAGAAATAGAAGAAGAAAAAAACCATTTCATAGCAAATATTCGGTATAGGAAAGAAAAGTCAACTATTTCGGCAGCATCATGGCAGCTTGCAACATTGCGGCATGATGAAAATGAAGTATTATTCAACGGCGATGTAAATATGCAAATAGCCGAAGGACGTACCGATGATTTTTGTGTCCACAGTTATGGATCGATCCAATAGACATGTGCATAAAATTGATTGAAATTAATTACAAAACTGGCTTGTCAAATTAACGCACCCGATGTCCGTGACATGGGCCAAAGCCAGCGCTGTGGTGGATGCCACGTCTAACCAGATTCTAGACATTGTTTTTCGATGTTGTTGCTGTTGTTGTTGTTGCTATTTTAACACTCCACATCGTCATATAAGTTGTGAGCTAAACAGAAATTAGCAAGATCAAGAAATAGCCCAGTCCCGCCGCAGTCGAGATATGTTTTTTAGTGCGGAAATAATTTGTAACTTTTGTCGAAGCAAATATCTCGTTTAATTAAGAGTTGATATATATATATTTATTAAAAGCACAAATCGAAGCATAAATCTTTCTATTTAGGTGTCAATTGAAGAAGCAAAGAACAAATATTTCGACATCTGTCTAATTCAAGTAATTAAACATTTGCACGCACAGCCCATTAAAATTATAATCAATTTTTAAATACTTATCTGGCAGAAATTCGAAGCCCAAAAGAGCTGTGAGAAGAATAGGCCTGTCGAATATTTATGACTTCTATTCACAAACCACGTTTTTCTCAAACTCACGGATACGCCTTTTGTGTTTGTGTGTATATATATTATAATTTGGCGGATCTGATAGAAACCGCATAAAAAAGTATAAATTTTCTAGCCAAATGTGACATCAGTTACGTCAGCAAAAGAATACAACTTTTGGACATCTTTAATTGTGCTTATGATTTATGCAAATTTATCCTTTATATAAACATGCTCTCGCATCTACATACCAGTCAAGGCAGAGCAAATTTTATAGCTTGTCGGGCTGCTTTAAATTTATATTTATGTAAATAAGCACACACAGACCGACAGACAGACAACCAGACCAGAGACCAGACCAGACCCGACCCGACCAACTAGTTCGGTTTCTGTTTTATATTTTGGCTATGCTCAAAGAGGAAGTTCAAGTATACGACAAGGTGTACGTTTGTCTTTTCTAAATTGGAATATTGTAGCGCCATCTAAACACTGAGGAATTGGATTGATATTGAAAGAACGACAACAAAAGCTGCTTCTGGTTATTTGTTTTCCAAAGTAGGAAAAGTCTAGATTTTATCGAACTTGAAATATACGAATACTCAAATCTGAAAACTCAAAATCGATCTATGCAAAACAAACTGGTTCAAAATGGCATTATTAAAAGCCGATCTGGCCTTTGCCAAGTTTGGGATTCACAAGCAAATTCTCGGAATTGAGCTAAATGCGTATTTTTGAATAGTTTTCTAAATCATCTTCTCATTTTCTTGTATGTTTTTGTATTTTTATTTATTTTTTGTTTTTTTTTTTTATATAAATATATATTTTGCTAACAAAGTTTTTAAATTTTTTAAATGTTTGTTGTTT